GCATCAAGCAAATACTGGCTAGAAGCATTGCACGTGACAAGCAAGGTCGCAGGCCAACTTTCAGAATGGCTCTGCAAAATGCAGGGGACAGCAAGCTGCAGGCACAGAACACAGCAGAGACCACTCCAGGGTGACCAATTGGGGAGTCCACAAACACAGGGAGCCATTTCCAGTATTCCAAAGACAGCTGACGAGTAAGTGTCTTCTCCACAAGGCTCCACCAGAGTAACCAGGGCGGCGCTGGGTTGCTTGGAGTCTCCAGTTAGCACACTGGGATTAGACAGCTAGACTATGAATCACTGCTCTGATAAAGGCTGTGTGTCTGGTGGGCAGGCGCCTCACATTCCTGGTCAACGTGAATGAAACGAAGACTGAGAAACCAAGGGTAGGAATCGCCAGGCTCTGGAAAGCAACACAGCCCCGAACTGAGTGGCTGCAATACGAAGGATTCGGATAAACTGTTATCTGAAAAGGTTCTTTTACTGGTGTTTCACAGTTTTTGTTGGTGTTGGTTTCATTTTCAGATGTGGAAAAGGGCAAAGGGAGTCTAGCAGAGGTAAAGCTGAGAAGATACATGCAAACATTTAAAGGAAGGCATTTAAATGTCACTGAGAAAAAGAAGCAAAGAAAGCAACGGGCCGACCGTACTAATACCATAGTCACACAGAGCTCCCAGTACGTATCAGGAAAACCACGTCTGCATTCTCATCCTCCAAATCAGCACCCCGCTCAAGTTCAGCTACCCATTATCACAGACAGAAGGGGAGTGCAGGCTCTGATGACAGACAGGGAGGAGTCCACATTTCTGCTCTCCTTCTGACAGCTGTGAATCCCCACCTGAATTTAGAGAGCATCTGAAGAGGTTTGATGCACTGGACACAACCAAAGACCAGAGAAGTTATGGGATGACATCAAGAATACCACATGTGAAAAACGCAGAAGGTCAGTAAAAAGACACGAAAGAAAAGGCAAAAACGGATGTCAGAAAAGATGAAAAGTTGCTCTTGAACATAGAGAAGCTGAAGTGGCTAGAAGAAATGAAGTAAAAGTTGACCAAATCATTTCCAAGGGGAGCGCAAGAAGACAAAGTCAAGTATTCTGATGAAATGTGCTAGGACCTGGAACACCAAGAGGGAAGATCACACTCAGCATTTCTCATGCTCAAAGGACTGAAGAAAAAATACAAGCCTCAAGTTGCAATACTGAAGGAGTTTGGATATGGTGGTGCAGGGTAAGTACTGGACTGCTAACCATAAGGTCAGAGGTTCAAACCCACCAGCCACTCCTCAGAAACCCTGTACAGGGTCGCACTGAGTGGGAACTGACTCGACGACACTTAAAAATGACTAGCACGACACTGAATGCAGGAAGGAAGTGCCAACAAATAGAAGGAGTACAGTCACTGTACCAAACAATAACTGCTTGACGCTGAAACACTTCAGAAGGCAGGCTGTGATCAAGAACTGTCGGTACTAAGGGAAGAAGTCTAAGCTGCACTGAAGGCACTAACCAGGAAATGGATGAAATACCAACAGAAATGTTTCCTCAAACGGATGCAGCGCTAGAGGCGCTCACTCGTTTATGCCAAGCATTCTGGAAGACAGCTACCTGGCCAACTGGAAGAGCTCCATATTTGTACCCATTCCAAAGAAAGTGACGCAACATGATTTGTGTGGAAATTATCAGCCAATAACATTAACATCACATACGAGTAAACGTTTGCTCAAGAGAATTCAAAACTGTGCCAACAGTACACCAACAGGAAGCTGCCAAAACTTCAAGTCTGATTCAGACGAGGCCGTGGAACGAGGGATATCAATATGGACCTCAGATGGGTCTTGGGAGAAAACAGAGAATACCACAAAGATGTTTACCTGTGTTTTATAGACTATGCAAAGGCATTCAACTGTGTGAATCATAACAAACTATGATTAACAGCTGGGAATTCTAGCACACTCGATTGTACTTAATGAGGAACCTGTACATAGACCACAAAGCAGTCATTCAAGCAAAACAAGGGTATACTGAGTGATTCAAAAATCAGAAAAGGTGTGTGTCAGGGGGTGTAATCCCCTCGCAATAGTTATTCAATCTGTGTGCTGAGCAGATAATACAAGAAGCTGGACTCTATGAAGACGACAGTATATCAAGATGACAGTAAAGTTCATTAACAGCCTGCAATACACAGATGACACAACCTTGCCTGCCGGAAGGGAAGAGGACTTGAAGCACTTACTGATGAAGATCAAATACAACAGCCTGCAGTATGGATTACAACTCAACATAAAGAAACCATAAATCCTCACAACTGGACCAAGAGAACGAATGCATCATGATCAATAGAGAAAAATGCCATTGTCAACGATCTCCTTTAACTCGGATCTACAGTCAACGCTCATGGAAACAGCAGTCAAGAACTCAAACCACGTACTGAAGTGGGCAAAACACCTCTCTAAAGTGTTCAAGAGCAAAAATGTCAGTTTGAGGACAAGAGTGCGCCTGACCCTAGCCACGATATTGTCAACCTTCCCACAAGCATGAGCAAACTCGACAGTGAAATAAGGAAGACTGGCGAAGCATTGATTCTCTGAACAGACCGGTCAGAAGAATGAATAAATCTGTTTCTGAAGAAGTCTGGCCAGGTTGTCCACAGACTTCAGGTAAGTTCTCAGGAAGGGACCATTCCCCGGAAAAGGGCACCCTGTTTGGTAAAGTTGAAGGGTCAGCGAACAAACAGAAGAATCTCAACAAAGCAGCCTGCCACGGCGGCAGCAGGCATAAGCTCAAACACATCAAAGCCTGTGAGGCTGGCGCAGGGCCGGGCACGGCCTTGTTCTGTCGTACAGAGAGCTGGCTCCACAACACCCACCAGGATCACTGAGCTTCACAAGGAAGATGTGCCTTCATTTATTAACAACAGGAAATTCATCCCATCAATTATTAGGAAGATTTAATTTACGAGACAATATGGCACCAGTTAACCATTGAAAAAAACTCAGCCATTATTATTAACATCAATATAGGTCACCATTCCTCTGACCTGTTGGTTTGAAGAGACCCAAGTTTTAAAGCAAAGGAAGCACAAGGAGACAGCAAAATGTCTGGTTACAAGACTCTTTCAAGTTCTTCCTCAAGGTGCGTTGCTAACCGCAAAGTTCAGAAGTTCAAATCTACCCGTGGCTCCTTGGGAGAAAGATGAGACTTTCTGCTCCCATAAAGATTTACAGCCTCGGAAGCCTTACACAGGTCTCTATGAGTTAAACTTGACTCGACGGCACACAACCACCATCAACATATCAAAATTATGAGAGTGTTTAAAAGGTAAGCATCAGAGAAAGCAAAAAGAAAACTTGGGATACAACTGGTTTGTATCCAGTCTTTTTCTTCTGCAACCAAAAGAAGGAAAGGGTAACAGGAGGAGGAAAACAAGAAAGCTCTGTATAAACTACTCAAGGGGCCCCCAGCGTGGGGATCCACCGATTGTCATGGAGACCACATGTGACAGGGAATTAGTACACTGCATTATTAGACCATTCTTCATGTCCTTAAGGAAAAAAGAATGATTTGAATGATTGGAAGCACATAGTAATAGCAGTATTTGCAGTACTGAATTTCAGATGACACCAATCCAATCCTTCTCACGTATGAATGCAAACCTATGACCAGCCTAACTATTGCACAAGTTCTCACACCACCAGAATGAGTTTTAAGATGCGCTCAAAAATGGCACCAGAGAGCAGCCAATCAGATAAGGAAGGAGGTTGGGAGGCCCTCAGCCATTTCCAGTGTTTAGGCCCCCACAGCCCACGAGTACTTCCTGTTCCACTTTTATCTGTTTGACACCATTTATAGACTTTTCCTCATCAAATCTCTCTCCTACTGATCTCAAAGGGAAGAAAAACTCAGCAAAACCACCACCCTGCGATTCGTAATTGGCATGTCCCAAACTTTCCATTGTAACTTGAAGTGTAAGATGACGTGCAGCCCCTTCCTCAGCCTTGCCTGCTTGTGTTAGTGAAATCCTAAGCAAACTCTCAGCGGGGGCAAACAGCACCTTTTGTCATATTTTTTGGTACAACTTCTTTATTCCTTTGGCAAAGTAATGCAGATACTGCTATGCATTAACTCTGCAGCGAACAAGACATTTATAAATGCAAAACCCCACCTTGTCAGTAAGTTCGTTGCATCATTTCTGTGTATATATAGTACAAGCATGGTGGAAGAACAGACTTTGGCTAGCACTGTATTTAAAACACCAATTTACTTGAAAGTTTGGAGGAAGGATATTTTACTTCCGATTAGACAAAATTTCTGATGAACTATCTATACTACAAAACAAAAACCTATTTTTTAAAAAATAAAGACTAGACTAGTTAGAACCCACATTGAATTGCAACATCATTTCACGTGTTTTGTAGATACTTCAGAATCTTGTACAGAAGCTAGTCTGGAGTGCTAGAAATGGATTTTCCTCATTCGGTCTCCGTAGTAAAGGCTGAGTAGAAGATGGAAATGTACCTGCAGTAACCCTATGCCAACCTACTGCTGAGTTTGGCTTCAGAGTCCATCCTTTGTGTTGCACACAGACCATTTGTCCTCTAGTCTAGAAATGGACCACAAGAAAACACATGGAGCTTCCTGGTGTTCAGATTCCAAGGCATTGTGACTTCCTGGGACCAATGTTGCCATACGGATTTGGAATGGAGTACTCTGAACAACTCTGTATATTATAAGTAACTAAACTCAACTGTTAATAGAATCCTCGTGGGGAAAAGAACTGACTAAAAAGAACAGGGGTATACACTTCAGTCAGACAAAGTGGGAAAAGCCAACATACAAAATCCTATAGGTGGTGGGTGGGCCTCTCCCCTTATGCCTTACAGGGAGTATGAAGAGACCATGCTACTCAGTCATCTGAGCCTTTCACACCCACCGCCCCGCAACACAGACAGCAGCCAAGTTAGGCACTTTTAACAAAATGGCTAATAAAAATTTTTTACCTGTAAATTGTTTTCTGTGACTCTGTTCCACCAAACCATATTGATGGGTACTCCTGATTTACATCTGTCAGCAAGGCAGCCAATAGGGTTCTTTGCTTTCCGGGCCTTTGATCCCATGGGAACTAGCCTCTCTTCCAGCATCCCCAGGCGACACTTCCTTGGCTAGGAAAAAGAAGGAAAGAAACCAGGCCACTCCTAACATCCCCCACACTCACCTAAGCTGGCATGACTAGCATACAGAAGCTACCAGGAATGGTGTGACAGGAAACAGGTAACATTTTGTAAGACATCTCATCCTCACCCACCAGTTCCCACCCCCACCTACCCCTCCAAAATTACCCACAGTCCTCTTTGGCTAAACAACAACATTCTATGCAGCAACAGATGTTTTTAAAGAATACATTATGGGCTGATTGTACAGACTTTGTTTGATGGATGAAAAGTGAACATATCAGCAAAGTAATTTGCAAAGAAATTTGCACAATTTCTCCCATGGACACTTACCCATTCTCACTGCAATGTGAAGAGATGGCTTCGAAGGCACAAAAAGCAGACAAAAAAGAGTCTCCACATTCTGTCTGTTTCTCATGCCCACCTGGCTACCTTAGGGCCACAGAGAACTAACTCGTTTAATAAGAGAGTAACTCTTAAGGAACAGACTTAATCATCCATTGAAAAGTTCTGGGCCCATCACACCAGAGAACCAGTCTCTCTCGCTTTATGCTGGACCTGGAAATGTAAGGCCACTCAATGGGGGGAAAAAAATGCACTCAGACTACAGAAACAAAATGCGAATACACTCAGACTACAGAAACAAAATACATTCAGACTACAGAAATAAAATACACT